TTTCCCCTTGTCAGTTTTTTTCCCCAAAGTTTATCATTTTTTAAATCCATGCATTTTGCAAGTTAAAATTGAACTGCACAGGTATTTTCCAGCCCCATATTGTGTACTAGAGTGATCACTGGAGGGGGAAGGAAAAAAAGGTGAGGACTGCAATCCAAGATGTCCAAAGTACAATGAACTGAGCTGGACTGGGAGCTAGGAAGAGAAAAACCAGTGGAAACATTACGATCCCAAACTTAACTATTTGGAAGGAAAACCCACAAGACTTGAAGCAATCTGTTAGTAAATGTTATTTGGATATAATAAATAGCAGCATGGGTAGAAAATAAAACTCGTGTAAATGGCTTCTTAAAAAATACAAAACAAAACAAACTTCTTATTGCCCCCAGTGGATTCTATTCCTATGTAGGAAGCTTTTAGAATCTTCCAAGATGTTTCATTGTCTTACATTCTTACTCATATGAGTACTGATGCTAAAGATTCTTTTAGTTTGGGAAATTTTTATACACGAATCTCAACACAATTTGATTGGCTATTTAGTCAAAATAGCTTTAAAATAATCACTTTTTGCACATAATTCTCTTGAAGAAATTAGGCGTTTTAACTCCATGTAGTTGCAAAACACATTTTACTACAATTCAAATAAACAAATTAGCATTTCATTTTTGAAAGCAATTTTTTACAAATGTATTAAATAGCTGTTAAATAATTCAAACAATTTTATTTTTCAATGAGTTTATTCCTCTTGACATATTGAGGTATAAGATTAAAATACATTATAGCTAAATGTTCTACAATATTACTGCTAAATCAACAGAAAACCAATTGATCTCATGGAAAGGTTAATTAATTTGGGCTACAGGTCTCCTCCTTTGGTCAGCATTGAAAGAAATTTGTATTGATCACAGCAGGTTTTTTCTTTTTGTCAAGAAATTTAATAAGTATTTTCATAGAATTCAGATAATTTTTTCAAAATGCCCACAGAACACGGTTTGAAAATGTTATCACTCCAGTAATTCTTTTCTGTTATGGCTCATTCAAATCTGTTAAACTTCGCAGAAAAAAAAATCATGTTTTTATACTTTCAGTGAAGTCAGTCAGGTCTATCTAGCCTTCAGAAAATGAAAACAGAAGTTAAGAACTTTAATAGGATTTTATGTATTTGAATCCCTCCTTCCGTAGTAGTTTACACCAGTTTGTTCTGGGGCGATGAGAACAGGACAATGAAAGCGGAAATTTTCCTTGGATTTAAACACCGTATTAGCCAATATGCAGAAAACGACTGGGCTGCCTTCGTCTTAAGGGTTTCGTTCCGCTGAAAAGAACTGGTGAGCGTTTCTTCTTCCCTGTCTGTGGTTGTCTTCTCTCCTTGTCCGCTAAAAAATGTTTCAGACCCGCGGTTCTTAAACGCAAGGTGAACGTGGTGACTGAAGCGCCCCTCCCTTGCCTTACACTCGCTCCTAAAACATTTTTTTCTCCGAGTGTTTGCTCGTGAGTTGTCAGTGCATCTGAGGGCCTCGGAGCTTTAGCGGAGGGTCGGCGGCGAGGTTTTCCCTCCTCGGTCCCTCCCCGCCCTCCCGGGACCCCTCCCCCACCTCGGCCGAAATTCCTAAATGAAGCCAGCCTGGGGGGACCGGGGCTGAGCCGTACGCATCCCCTTTCGGGATCTCATCTGCTGGAGCATCCGAGGTGAAGAGACGTGGAAACGTCGAGACGCAAGGGGGGAAGCGC